CACACCCCGCCCCGCCGTGCCCACCTGCTCCCGCCGCTTCTGCCAACGGCCGCACGGGCTCTCCTCCAGGATGTCGCTCTCGTCCTCGCTCTCGTCCTCCCGCTCCCGCTCCCGGCCCCGCCTCGGCGCCGGCTCCGGGGCCGCCATGGCTCGGCGGGCCCAGGCCGCCGCCCTCCGCGCGATCCGCCGCCCCGCGCCGCCGCTCCCCGTCCGCCCTGGCCCGGCGCCCAGATGCCAAGCTGGGAGCGGCAGCCGCCGCCTGGATCCCCAGCCCCGCTCCGGGAATTGGGAGGCGCGGGCGCGCGGACGGCCCAGGGGTGGAGCCCGCCCGGCCCTCCGGAGCCGCCTTCTTCGGCTGGAGTTTGAAGGGAGCTACCGGGCGGAGGCCGAGCCCTAGCCCCATGGAGCCCCCGCCCGGCGGAGCCACGCCCCGTCCGAAGCCCTGCTTTTCCCCGACTAAGGCTCCGCCCCGAAGAGCCCCGCCTCACGCGAGGCCCCGCCCATCCCCATCAAGGCCCCGCCCCACCCGAGGCCCCCACCCCCGTCTAAGGCCCCGCCCCACCCGAGGCCCCCACATCCCGGTCTAAGGCCCCGCGCCACCCGATGCCCCTCACATGCCCATCTAAGGCCCCGCCTGGTCCCGGGCCCAAGCTTCCCCCGGCAGCGGTCGCTCTGGGCAGCGGGGAGAGGAGGTCCAGGGACCAGCCTGAGCCGAGGGACCTGGCCCCAAGCGTTTTGGCGCCGGCCTGGCGCCGGGTCCGTCGGGGCCTCTCTGGGCGCGCGGCGGCCTGTGCTGACCCGGCCATGGGACTCGGGGAACCGCCCCTGCCCGACTCTTGGAGCCCCGCGTTCTTCCCGCACCGCTTCCCCACCATGCTCCTGCGACACACACATCCCAAAACCTGGCCCCGGACCGCGGTTCCGTCTCCGGGCTTCCGCCCTACGGTGATCCCAGCGTGGAGTGGGGCCTGGGGCAGCGCGCTTCGCCCAGGGGTGCTCCCGAGGGCCTGAGGGAAGGCCTGGGACGGGCACCTGCGAGGTCAGCTCTCCTGGCGTGTCCCCCCTCCCCCAAAGGAACACGTGGGAGGTTCACTGAAGGTGACAGAAAAATACACAAGCAGGCTGACTGGTTGACTTGAATTCATGACCACAAACCTCCCAAGGGCGCACAATTCTGTTCCCTTTCACGTCCACATGCTCACCCGGGATGGCGATTTCTTTTCTCCTCTTTCTGCTGATAGCCCCCCTGGAAAGTGGAGCCATCGGGAGGGAGCCACACCCCCACTCACATGCAGCCCCCTATGCCTCCGGGAGGCCCCCCTCACCACACCCTCCAGCCACATCAGCAAGACATGCTCTAGAATTCTTGTCTAAAGTCCTCCTCTACCCCCCAACCCCCACCACCTGCCCGGGGTCTCCTCCCCCTCACATCTGCTGATCTCTCACCCCTGCTTTACTTTCTCTAGAGAGAAAAGCAGCAGTGGACACACGCGCCTGCCTCCTCCCCAACTTAAACCCTGTGAAACTGAATAAAGGAAGCCTTATTTAAAATGGAGGTGGGAGGCCACGAGGGGGAGCTCTCACCCCTCCCACCCCTCAATGGCAGACCCCAGCAGGAAGGAGTGTACCCTGCTTTTTCCAACAGGAAGAAGCCTACGTTACTACCCCAGTGGCAGGGAGACTTTCTCCTTGCCCAGCAACAGCCCAGCCAATGGAAAACGCCACAGCGCAGCCAGCCAGGAGCCATCACAACCCCAGACTGCTGCCCTCCTCCAGTGGACTTTTGCTCACCAGCACCTTCCAGCTCCCTCCTTTTTCTTGATAAAGCAATGGTCCTCTCCTGTGTTTGCCAGACTGGCCCATGATTTTACCAAAGACTGCCTGTCCTGAACTGCAATTCTTTGTTATTTCCGAATAAACCCATTTTGCGGGTAAAACAACTGGCTATTTTATTTTTAAGGTTGACACCTCCAACCCTGAACTCCCACTCCTCCATCTCCGTCCAGAGGCCTTCAGCCCCACTGCTTTCTCAGAGTAGCTCAGGACACCTCTATTTTTCCCAGCCTTTGGCATAGCTGCATCTGACCCCTTTCACCATCTCCACTGCTGCCGTCATTTTACAGCCAGCATTGCTCATGGGAACCAGTGCAGCAGCCTGCTCCCCATGCTCGGAGCTGCTACCCAGCACTAGGCGATCCTGTGAAAGTGTCACTCACCTGCTCAGAACTCTGTGTAATAAACGGGGGACCAGTGAGGCCTGGCCCTCTGTCACCTGCCCTGACTAGACTCTTCATTTAATGACTGAAGTTCTAGGCTCTTCCAGGAGCCTTTGAGCATGATTTAACTGCAGCACATGCAGACTATTCCAAGATACGGCTCTACGTCACCCCGGATTTTCAATACCTATTTTTCTTGTTTAATCTCCTGTACCTATGATGAGGATATACAGTTTTGTCGATGAACCATCAAAAATCTGAAATCAGACAAGAGAGCTTTGTTTCTACATAAACATTTCTTTGTAAATTATAAAAGCCATAGCTCCAAAAACGGGAAGATCTGCACCAAAGAGACAGAATCAGCCTGTGCCTTCGGTGAGCACAGCAGTGGGATGCACAGCCACCCAAGTGGACCCCAAATTGAGAGCCATAAGCCAGTGAACTATAGATACGAATTGAGGGGAAATGAGTTAGTCTACAAACAGGAGAATTACTCTGTAATTGAAAGGAATACATTTAATAAAAATATGAATGCAACATATTGATGTATACACTTAAGGAAGATATTCCGAGGACCAAGAGAGTTCTTCATTCTAAATTGTCAACTTTAAAATAAAATACCCAGTTATTATACTAGCAAAATGACTTTATTTGAAAATAGCAAAAGAATTACAATTCAGGACACGCAAACATTGGTGAACCACAGGCAAATCCACAGAACAAAACAGGGGAGCTTGTTTTTACAGAGAAAAAGGGAGAATGGGGACGAGTTGTCTAAAGGAAAGTCCACTGGGAGAAAGTAACAGTTCAGGGCGGCAATGGTTTCTCATTGGCTGAGCCGTGGCATTTTACCTTGCCTTAGCTTGTTGCTGGGCAAGAAGAAAATCTTCCTTCCTCTTCCTAGAGTAAAGTAGTAGGAAACATCCTGATGGGGACACAAGATTCAGTCCCTTCCTCTTTGGGGTAATCAACAGTGAGTGGTAGATATTGTGAGAATCCCAACATTAATTTTACTTGAGATTTCCATTATTAACGTTCACAAAGTGTAGCAGAGTTTATCAGGGATGCTCAGGGTCAAATTTCATGAAAAAAAAAATAGATGGAAGATTCACAAGTTAGAAAACCAGGAGTTATCATGATGAAGATGACAAAAGAGCATGCGCTTCTTTGAGGGGAAATGAGTAAACATGGGAAAAAAGTAATATGGAAAAAGGAGAATGGCAGCAGATGTATGAAAGAAGTTAGTTAGACACAAGGCAAAAAAAGGTGGAAATAAGAAAATGTTGAAATATACAGTAATATACTTTCCATCTATATATAGACTACATATAATCTACATCTGTATCTATATTCTATATCTATATATATACACAAAGAGAGGACAAAGTAACACAGGCTTCATTCATCTCAAGAGAGAGAAAGAAATAAGAGGCCCGTCTCGGGGTCAAGAGTGGCCCTCTGGAGCAGCTGCAGGTAGGTGAGGTTCTCGTGCGTGTTGGGGTCGAAGAAGCCCTTGGTGTCGTCGCTCGGGTCCGCCAGCACACGGTTCATCTCCTCGTCGAAGTAGCCGCGCTGGTAGGCCACCTCCACGGGCACGCGGTGGCTGTGCACGGGGTCGATGACGCCGCCCGTGGCGATCTGGGCCTCCAGCAGGCGGATGCCGTGGTCCCTCACGATGAGGTCCTTCTTCATGGCCTGGAAGAGGGAGATCTGCTCCCCGGTGTAGGGGTCGGTGTAGCCGGTGACGGCGCGCTCGGCCGACAGCAGCTTGTCCTGGATCTCGCCGCCCACCACGCCCGCGGCCACCGCCTCCTCCACGGACAGCCTCTGGTTGCCCACGGGGTCGATGACGAAGCCGGTGGCGGCCTGCGCCTCCAGCAGCACCAGGGCCGTGCCGGGCCGCAGGACACCCTTCCACATGGCCTGGTAGATGCTCATCTTCTCCTGCCGCCCGGGCTGGTCCTTGGCGGGCACCAGCACGCCCGCGATGCAGCTCGTGCCCTCCAGGTAGCGCTTGACCGAGTCCATCTCCGTCACCTCCTGCAGGGTCTTCGTGCCCTGGGCCAGGTCCCGCAGGGTCTCGGGGCCCAGGATCCCGGACGTGCGCAGCTCGGACGCGGACACCTGGCGCCTCAGGCCCCGGAAGGACACCTTGCTCAGCCGCTCCTCCGTCTCCTCGATGAGCTGGCTGAGGGTGGCGACCAGGGCGGGCAGGGCCAGGGCGCCGGCCGCGTGCTGGGCCAGGAGCTCGTCCCGGCGGGCCTGGCCCAGGTAGGAGGAGAAGAGGACGTCCCACACGGAGACCCGCTGTCCCCGGAACTGCCCGACGCCCACCTCCATGGTGGCGGCGCGCAGGGCCTGCTCCTGGAGGCGACGGGCGGCCTCGGCGTCGGCCTCGCCGTCACGGCGCCCCGGCGGCCCCGGCTCCCCAGGCTCGCCCGGCTCTCCCGGGCCTGCGGCGGCGTCCCCGTGCGCCTGCTCGGTCCCGTGGGCCGCCTCGGCCTCCTCGATGATGGTGGTCAGCCTGCGGGTCAGCGCGGGCAAGCCCAGCGTCCCCGAGCCGAACTGGGCCAGCAGCTGCTGCCGCGTGGCGCCGCCCACGTAGCTGGACGCCAGCACGTCCCACACGGGCACCGCCGGCCCCCGCAGACGGCCCACCTTCACCTCCATGGTGGCGGCGCGCAGCGCCCCCCGAGGGTCCGGGGGCGCCGGGCGCGGGCCCCCGTCCTCGGCCCGGGCCAGCAGCGCGGTGAGGGCGGCGCCCACCTCCTGCGCGGTCAGCGCGCCCGCCCGGTAGCTGCGCAGCAGGTCCTGCCGCCGGCTCTCGGGGACCTCCCGGTAGAAGAGGAGCTCCCAGACGGAGACGCTGTGGCCCTGGAAGACGCCCGGGCCGGGCGTGACGCGGGCGTCGCGCAGGGCGGCGCGCAGCTCCTCGCTCAGCTGGTGCACGGCGGAGCCCCGGTCGGCCAGCTGCAGCATGTAGAGCCCCGTGTCGGGGTCGCGCACGCAGCGCCGCAGCAGCTGCATGTAGGTGAGGTTCTCGTGCGTGTTGGGGTCGAAGAAGCCCTTGGTGTCGTCGCTCGGGTCCGCCAGCACACGGTTCATCTCCTCGTCGAAGTAGCCGCGCTGGTAGGCCACCTCCACGGGCACGCGGTGGCTGTGCACGGGGTCGATGACGCCGCCCGTGGCGATCTGGGCCTCCAGCAGGCGGATGCCGTGGTCCCTCACGATGAGGTCCTTCTTCATGGCCTGGAAGAGGGAGATCTGCTCCCCGGTGTAGGGGTCGGTGTAGCCGGTGACGGCGCGCTCGGCCGACAGCAGCTTGTCCTGGATCTCGCCGCCCACCACGCCCGCGGCCACCGCCTCCTCCACGGACAGCCTCTGGTTGCCCACGGGGTCGATGACGAAGCCGGTGGCGGCCTGCGCCTCCAGCAGCACCAGGGCCGTGCCGGGCCGCAGGACACCCTTCCACATGGCCTGGTAGATGCTCATCTTCTCCTGCCGCCCGGGCTGGTCCTTGGCGGGCACCAGCACGCCCGAGATGCAGCCAGTCCCCTCCAGGTAGCGCTTTACTGCTTCGTTTTCCTCGATGTCTTCCACTCTGCCTCCTCCTTTCTCCAGTTCCTCCAGCGTCTCCTTGCTGATGATTGCCGACCGGAAGAGCTCGGCGGCTGTGATTTGTCCTCTGATCCCTCTGAACCATAGTTGTTTATTGCTCTTTTCCTTTTCGTCAATGATTTCAAATATAATTTTGACTACTTTTTCTAGTGCATGTGTTGTATCTCTTTTGTATTGACTTACTAACTCGAGTTTCTTCTCCTCTGTCACATATTCTGAGTTCAGCAGCTCCCACACTGATGGCGTCTGGCCCTTGTACCTTCCTACTGTGACCTCCACCCGCTTGGCCTCCAGGGCACTCCTTGTTGCCTCATCGATGTACTCCACGTCCTTTCTGTCTGTGAGCACCGGGAACAGAGCCCAGCCCGCCCCCTCTTCCTGGCGGCTCCTTTCCTGCAGCTCCTGATATGTCACCTTCTCTTGAGTGTTGGGATCCACAAACCTTTTATTCATGTGCTTCTGATCTGAAACGAGAGGGTACATGTCCTGGTGCAGACAGCCTCGTTTGTAGGCTGTGTCCAGCGGGAGCCGGTGGTGGTGCAGCGGGTCGATGACGCCCCCCGTGGCTACCTGCACCTCCAGCAGTCTGAGAGCCTCCTCCTGTTTCACTAACTTCCTTTTCATGGCCTGGAACAGCGAGATCGTGTCTCCCGTGGCTGGGTCCACGTAGCCTTTGGCGGCCTTCTCGGCATTCAGAAGCCTTTCCTGCAACTCTTTCCCCACCAGGCCGGCCACCACGGCCTCATCCACAGACAGCCTCTGGTGGCTGAGGGGGTCCAGCATGAACCCTGTGGCCGCCTGTGCCTCCAGCAGCTGAGTTGCAAACCCCACAGGGATGAGTCCTCTCCTGCTGGCCTCATAGAAGCTCATCACCTCCTGGGTGGCAGGTGCCGTCACCCCTGCAATGCAGCCACTGCCTTCCAGATAGGTCTTCACGTGTTCTAGCCAGCTGAGGTCCTGCCCCCCACCTTGCCTCCTGTGCAGGGTGTCCAGGGTCTTTTTATCAATGATTCCAGAATTGAATAGCTCTGCAGCTGTCACCTCCCCACCAATGGCTGCCACCTTGATGACTTGGTTTTGCTTTTCTGTTTCTTCGATTGTCGTGGTAAGGACCTCCAACAACTGCTCCAGGCTCAATTTTTGGGCTCTGTACTCCTGGACAAGCTCTCGCTTCCTTTCCTCTGTGAAATACTGGGAGGACAGCAGCTCCCAGAAGGAGACCATCTGATTAGCAAACTTCCCCACATGCATCGTCGTAGTTTTGGATTGCAGAACTTGCCTTGTGGCTTCATCAACATACATGTAGGTTTCTCCTTTTTTAACAATTTGCAGCATGTAGAGCCCCGTGTCAGGGTCGCGCACGCAGCGCTCCAGCAGCTGCAGGTAGGTGAGGTTCTCGTGCGTGTTGGGGTCGAAGAAGCCCTTGGTGTCGTCGCTCGGGTCCGCCAGCACACGGTTCATCTCCTCGTCGAAGTAGCCGCGCTGGTAGGCCACCTCCACGGGCACACGGTGGCTGTGCACGGGGTCGATGATGCCGCCCGTGGCGATCTGGGCCTCCAGCAGGCGGATGCCGTGGTCCCTCACGATGAGGTCCTTCTTCATGGCCTGGAAGAGGGAGATCTGCTCCCCGGTGTAGGGGTCGGTGTAGCCGGTGACGGCGCGCTCGGCCGACAGCAGCTTCTGGTAGGTTTCCCGGCCAAACATCCCGGCTGCAAAGGCCTCCTCCACGGTCAGCTTCTGGTTTTCCACGGGGTCAATGAGGAAGCCAGTGGCCGCCTGGGCCTCCAGCAGTACCAGGGCTGTGCCCGGCCGCAGGACGTGCCTCCTAAGGGCCTCCGAGATGCTCATCCTTTCCTTTGTGCCCTGGACAAGGACCCCGGCGATGAAGTTGCCTCCTTCCAAGAACTGCCTCACGCTGTCCATCTCTGTCACCTCTTGCACAGTCTTCCTCCCCTGATTCAGCTCGTCCAGTGTCTTCTTGTCGATCAGCTGGGACCTGAACAGGTCGCTGGCCGACACCTGCTTCCGGAGACCTCTGAAGGCAGCCCTTGAAGGCTGCCTTTCTGAGGCCTCAACCAGGGCAGTGACTGCGCTGACCACCTGCCGCAGGGCTGTGGCCCTCCCAGACTGGCAGAGCACTGCAAGCTCCCGCCGTTTTTGGATGCTGACGTACTCTGAGTGCAGCAGGTCCCAGAGCGACACGCTGAGGCCCTTGAACCTTCCCGTGCTGACGGGCACCTTCATGGCCCTCAGGGCCACCGCTGTGTGGTTGTCCACCTCGAGCGCCATGTCCTCGGGAAGTGGCAGCAGCCACAGGCCGGTGTCGGCATCCAGGACACAGCGCTCCTTGAGCTGCTGGTATGACACCCTGTCCCGCGTGCTTGGGTCGAAGAAGAACTTGCTGTCCTCGTCTGTCGTGGTCAGCGCCTGGCATGTCGGCTCGTCCAGGAGGCCAAGTCTGCAGGCTGCCACCTGGGGCAGGTGCACCCCGTGGACGGGGTCCACCACACCCCCTGTGGCCAGCTGCGCCTGCAGAAGGGGGAAGCCCTCACTCTGGGGCATGAGCCCCTTCTCCATGGCCTGCCACAGTGAGAGGGTGCCCCCCGAGTAGGGGTCCGTGTACCCAGCCACTGCTGCCTCAGCCTGCCGCAGCTGCTCACCCAGTGCCCCATCCACCAGGCCAGCCTGGACTGCACCTTCCACTGACAGTCTCTGGTTAGTCAGAGGGTCCACAAGGGAGCCAGACGCCACCTGGGCCTCCAGCAGTCTCCGCCCCAGGCCCACAGGCAGGAGGCCGTCCCTCATGGTCTGGGCGATGCTTGCCTTGGCACCTGAGGGCTGCAGTAGGACGCCCGCCACACAGCCCGTGCCCCACAGGCAGGCCTTCACCTCAGGCTGCTCAGCGACCTCAGCGGGTGACCGTGCACCCTGAGCCAGTGCCACCAGGGCCTCCTGGGTGATGACACCAGCATCCAGCAGCCAGACAGCAGGGATCTCGCCCCGAGGGCCAGGCAGCGTGACGCGGGCCTGTGCCAGGAGCTCTGCCTCCTGCACCCACCTCCTCACGGCTGCCTGCAGCTGCTGCAAGGTGGTCTTCCCCACCCTAAAGTCCTCCAAAAAGCCCCTCCGCTGCTCCTCGGTGAAGTGGCAGGAGTCCAGCAGCTCCCAGAGGGACGTGCCATCTTTAGCCCCCTCTGTGGCCTGCAGGGTCTCCCGCATCTGCTCGTCTGTGGGAACAGTGGGAGCACTTTCTGGCAGGGGCAGGAGGCGAAGGCCAGAGGCCTCGTCCCTCAGACACTGCTCCAGAAGCCCAGCGTAGCTGGTGTGTCCCCGGCCGTCTGGCGTGGGGAAGGTCTCAGAGGAGCTGGACAAGGCCATCTCCATGTCCTGATCGATGCAGCCACGCTGGGCGGCCACGGACATAGGGAGGTGGTAGTGGCCGGTGGGGTCAATCACTCCTCCTGTGGCCACCTGGGCCTCCAGGAAGCGGGTAGCCTGCTCCACAGGGACAAGGCCCTTCCTCATGGCCTGGAACAGGCACACTCGCTTCCCAGAGAAGGGGTCTCTGAAGCCGGTGATGGCATCCTCGGCCTGTCTCAGCCTGCCATACAGCTCTGGCCCCACCAGCTCCCTGCGCACGGCCTCATCCACCGACAGGGTCTCCAGACTGTGGGGGTCAATAATGGCTCCAGTGGCTGCCTGGGCCTCCAGCAGGGCCAGGGCCACTCCTGGCCCCAGCAGTTTCTGCTGCATGGCCTGGTAGAGACCGAGCCGCTGGTTGGAGGGCTGTAACAGCACGCCGCCCACGGCGCCGGAGCCACGCAAGTACCTGTGGACACCATCCATGTGGAGGAGATCCTCGGGGCTGACTGCCCCCACTAGCACCCGGTCCAGGAGCTCTTGGTCAATGATGTGGGCCTCCAGGAGCTGGTAGGCGGTAACCCGGCCCCGCAGCGCAGGCAGGGTGATGTCCGCCCACCTCCCCATCTCTCTCTCCAGCAGCTGTGCAACCTGCTCCAGTGAGACCTTGCGCAGCCGGTAGTCTTGCAGGAGCTGCCTCCTCCGGTCCTCACTGAAGCGTTCCGAGTTGATCAGCTCCCACGCAGAGACCCTCTGCCCCTGGAACCGCCCATACTTCACTGACAGCAACAGGCTCTGGAAGGCCTGCCGGGTGGCGCCGTCTACCAGTTGGGGCTTTGTGCTGCTGAGCGGCAGCAGGAAGAGCCCTGAGTCGGGGTCATGCACGCAGCGCTCCAGCAGCTGCATGTAGGTGAGGTTCTCGTGCGTGTTGGGGTCAAAGAAGCCCTTGGTGTCGTCGCTCGGGTCCGCCAGGATCAAGTTCAACGTCTGGTCGAAGTAGCCGCGCTGGTAGGCCACCTCCACGGGCACGCGGTGGCTGTGCACGGGGTCGATGATGCCGCCCGTGGCGATCTGGGCCTCCAGCAGGCGGATGCCGTGGTCCCTCACGATGAGGTCCTTCTTCATGGCCTGGAAGAGGGAGATCTGCTCCCCGGTGTAGGGGTCGGTGTAGCCGGTGACGGCGCGCTCGGCCGACAGCAGCTTGGTGAACACATCAGGCCCAATGACACCGGCCCTTAGTGCCTCTTCCACGGAGTATCTCTTGTTTTCTTTGGGGTCGATGATGAAGCCGGTGGCTGCCTGCGCCTCCAGCAGGATGAGGGCCGTGCCGGGCCTGAGCAGCCCCTTCCTGCGAGCCTCGTAGATACTGAGCCGCTCCTGGGAGTCGGGCAGCAGCAGGCCAGCAATGCAGCCAGTGCCCTGCAAGTACCTCTGCACCGAGTCCAGGCTGCCCACATCCTGGGCTGTGGTCTGTCCTCGTTCCAGCTGCTCATAGACGTGTTTGTCGATGATCTCTGCGCTCAGCAGCTCTCCCGGTGTCACGGCGACCCTCAACCCAGCAAAGGTGGTTCTGGCAGTGGCTGCAGCCTGCTCAAGGGTGGCCCTCAGTGTAGCTGCCAGCTCGTCCACCGAGAGGGTCCCTTCCTTGTGCTGCTGGGCCAGCGTCGCCCTCTGCTCCACAGGGACTGCCTCAGAGAAGAGCAGGTCCCAGAGTGACACGAGCCGGCCCTGGAACTTGCCCGTGGAGACGGTGGTCGTGGCTGCACTCAAGGCCTGCCGCGTGCTGTGCTCGATGAATGGGGGTCCCTGGGGCTCCTCTCTGAGGGCTCCCACTGAGAGGGGCAGGAAGGCCAGCCCCGTCTCTGGGTCGGTGACACAGCGGGCCAGCAGCTGCCCGTAGCTGAGACTCTCCTGTGTGCTGGGGTCCAAGAAGCCAGCAGCCTGCGAGAGACATTGTTGAGTCTCTTCGTCCAGGCAGCCGAAGCGCAGGGCGGCCTCCAGGGGCAGCCGGAGCCTGTGGGTCGGACACACTAGCCCACCTGTGGCCAGCTGGGCATCCAGGAGCCGCAGCGCCAGAGGCCTGTCCACCAGCTCCTTCTTCATGGCCTGGAAGAGGGGGATGCGGGTGCCACTAAAGGGATCATGGTACCCCATCACTGCCTGCTCTGCCACCAGGAGCTGCCTGTGGAGCTCTGGGCCGAGGAGGCCTGCCCTGACTGCCTCATCTACCGACAGCTGCCGGCCAGAGGCTGGGTCCACCAGTGTGCAGGTGGCAGCCTGGGCCTCCAGGAATGGAAGCGCGGCCCCCATTGGGAGCAGGTGCTCAGTGACGGCCTGGAAGAAGCTCTTTTTGAGGCCAGCGGGCAGCAGGACAACCCCCACCATGCTGCCGGTGCCCTGCAGGTAGCGCTGCACCTCAGCGCGTGCGCTCACGTCTGGCACTGCCAGCCTGCCCTCCCGCAGGCCCTGAGCCGTCTCCTGGTCCAGGACCCCTGCCTCCAGCAGCTCGGCCAAGCTTACTGCCCCACTCAGGGTGCAGAAAGTGGTCTTGAGGGGCAGCAGGGCCAGCCCCGTGTTGGGGGCCCGCACACACCTGCCCAGCAGCTCATGGTACGGCAGTTTCTCCAGAGTGTTGGGGTCCAGGAAGCCCAGGGCACCCGAGCCGGGCTCATGCTCTGACAGGCCACGCCATGTCTCCTGGTCCAGGAGGCCCTGCTGGCAGGCCAGCTCGGGAGCCACACGTGTGCCCTGGATGGGGTCTACCAGGCCCCCAGTGGCCAGCTGGGCCTCTAGCCAGCTCCACCCCAGTGCCCTGTCTACAACCTCCTTCCCGATGGCCTGGAAGAGGGCCAGCCTCCCACCCCCATAGGGGTCTGGATATCCAGTGACCGCACGCTCAGCAGCCAGCAGCTTCTCCTTCAGCTCCAGGCCCACCAGGCCCTGCTGCAGGGCCTCAGATACAGGGAGCAGCTGGCCCTGGGCAGGGTCCACGAGGCCCCCAGTGGCTGCCTGGGCCTCCAGCAGAGCCAGCCCAAGCCCACCAGGCAGGAGACCCTGCTTCATGGCAGTGTAGAGACTCTGGGCCTGGCCCGAGGCCTCCACATACACCCCAGCGATGCTCCTGGCCTGGGTGGACGAGGCTGCCTCAGCTGAGGGCCCCAAGGGGGTGTCAGCTCCCAGCACGGCCTTCATGGTCTTGGAGACGATGGCTGGCTTGGTGTCGTTGGTAACCAGGACATCAAGAGGAGAAGAGACGTGGCCGTTCATCGTGCCCAGCTGGTCGTGCAGAACTCTCACCCAAGGTCCACTGTGTCTGCTCCCTGCAGGGGATGGAAAAGCTCTCTTAGGGGCCCTGAGATGGCCTCTGAGAGGGAGACACGGTCAGGGGGTCAATCCTAGACCCTAGGTCTGCCTCTAGGAGCAGCTGGTCCTCCTGGGGGACAAGGATCGGCATCTACGTGGGGTCCATCCCCTACATGGGGTCCATCCCCTTGCCCCAATGGGTCCCAGGAGGGACCACATGAGCACAAGGACTCTAGGCCAGCCAGCTAGGACGTGCGGCTTTATTTCTCTTATAGGCCATCCTCTGGGCTCCATCTAAGCCCAAGATCCTCAGGCTGGCCCCCCCAGTCCTGGTGCAGGGGGCTGGGGCCCTGTGTGCTCGTGTCCCAGCTCAGCCCTGCATCCCCTGGGCTGTGGCTCCCCCCACCCTCAGCCTCAGCACCCACACCTTCCAACCAGTTGGCCCCTGCTTTGCCCCCCAAAGTGTCCACCCTCGCTCTACCATCCCTTGGGTGGTCTCCACGTGATCAAGGACACCAGCACTCCGCCTTGTCCTTCTTCCACCTCCCCCTTTCAGGTGACCTCCTTTAAACCCTCCCCCACACCTGGGCCCACTGCTCCAGAAGCCTCTGCTCTGGCCTCCACTCCCTTGGGGCTCCCCTGGGCTGCAGCCAGATGTCCGCTCTCAGAGCCCCAAGGTCTCAGGGCACAGCCCACTGTGTTCTCCTCCACCCACCCCACCCCCCAGGCCCTCTGGGCTGTGGCTTCTCAGCACCCACACCTGGCCTGGGGGGCCTGAGAGACCAAAGACAGTGCCAGCCTGCTGGTCCTGCTGAGGGCCGTGGGCAGGGCCAGGCTCCAGTCTCCCTGCCCTGCTGGCTCAAAGCCTCAGCACCCTGCACAGCTATCCTCTTAGCAGACAGCTGTGTGCCCCTGTTCTCTGAGCAGTGGTGACAGGTGCCTAACCTCTGACCCCTATGATACCCGCACACCAACCTCTTCCATCCAGGCCTGTCCCTTTCTGTGCTGGGTAAATTGTGTCCCCCAGAAGGGTATGTGTGTGTCCCAACCTCCAGTACCTATGACAGTGGCCTTATTTGGAAAAAGGGTCTTTGCAGATGAAATTAAGACGCGGTCACACTGGGTTAGGGAGGGCCCTAATCCAACAGGACCAGTGTCCTTATAGGAAGACAGAGAGACAGAGACAGGGAGAAGGCCGGTGAGGACGGAGGGAGACGAGTATGCAGCTACAAGCCTGGGACACCAAAGACGGCCGCCCAATGCCGCAAGCATCGATTTCAGATCCTGGCCTCTCCAACTGCAAGAGAACGAGTTTCTGCTGTTTTAAGCTGCCCAGGTTGGCATAATTGTTGGAACAGCCTCAAAACGACGGGGCCTCCCTCCCTCTTCCCCGCGAATGGGTTCACTTCTCATTTCCTGGGAACCACACCCGCGGTCCCCGCCCTGGTCCACACCCTCATTCCTGCCGGCACTGTCCGGCTGCTCAGGAGCCCGTCCATGCCTGTCCTTGCCTCCCGACCAGCACCCCAAAGCCCACTCCTCAAACTCCTGCAGCCCACACAGGGTCTCAGGAGAAGCCTCAGCCCCCTTGTCCGCCCCTCACCCCCACTCCATGGCTCTTGCTGAGATGACCTCCAACTCCACTGCCAAACCCAACACATGCATTTAGGATCTGACGGTCCCCAACCTTCGGCTTGTGGGGCGTGGGGCCCCTTCTCTGTGGCTTTGCTCCATCTCCGTTTACTCATTAAATCGGAGAGCTCTTTGTGACTGTCCTCAGCCCCCAAAATTGGCAGCTTGAGCCCAGCCTGTCCTAGAATCCAGCACCACGTGTCCAGCTGCCTCCTGGACCCCTGTGCCCGGCTGTCTGACCAGTGCACACCCCCACAGCCACTCACGCTCCGTGACTAGCTCTCCCCAGTCCACTTGGCAGAGTCTGAACCCTGAGCCGCCCCCAATTCTCTCCCCACAGCTGGCCCCCGAGGGGTACTCCCCGACACCAGCCCAGCTCGCGTCCATATCCCTGGCCTCCACAGCACCCCTTGGCCTCACAGCTCGTGAGCACCCTCTGTGTCGCTCAAGGCCGCCCTCCCTGTGGTCCTCCAGCCCCCAGAGCAGGGTGAGGTCAGCAAGTGAACGTGGGGGATGGGAGACTGAGACCTCCAGGGAAGACCTTCTCCGTGGTCAGGGCTGTGCAGGGGGCAGCATGGCTGAGACCAGTGCAAAGTCCCCTGCTGTCAGCAGAAATAAGCCAGGGCTTTGACATCACACAGACCCGGTGGGACTGCCCAGACCCCATCAGGGACTGCAGGACTCAGCCCCCCCAGGGAAGGCCTGTCCCAGGCAGGCAGACGGCTCCAACTGTGGCTCCCTTGGGAATCAGCTCAACCAAGATCACTCCCTTCTAGGCAGCACAGGCTCGGTGCTTCGACTGGACTTGGGGCATCACAGCCCATGGGGCTGCCTGCTGAGACCACATGGAGCCCACCCTCCCCAGCGAGATCCTGCTCCCTCCCTCCCCTTGCACAGATGCAGTGCCTGTGCCCTCGGAGATGCCCTGCAGCTGATCTGCTGCTCAGAATCACAGACGGTTGGTGCCAGGACCAAGCAGACACCGAGGCGGGGCTTTGGAGGGGCCCGCCGCCACCCGGCTGGCCGTGAGAGCTGGGCTCCAGGAAGCACCACGATTGCAGCTTTCCCGAGGTGAGCAGGCCAGTGAGTGGGTGTGCTCGGGGCGCAGTACCAGGCGTCTAAGATGGGGACGAGTGCACAGGATGGTGGAATAGTGGGGCGTTGCTAAGCAGTCAGCCTTTGGAAAACACCACAAAAGGCTGCAAATGACCAGCTGGACAGCAGAAGCCCATGTGGACGCCTGGGGCCTTGTGGTGACCAGTGGAGAGGCTCTGGTCCCTGCAGGGCAGGGCAGGCTGAGGTAGCTCCGTTGTACGAGGGCCTCAAAGGCACCAGCAAAGCACCAGCTCACAGGTGGCCCCATTCCCCAGGAGGGGTTACTGCCCCAAAAACGTCCTGTCCCAGCAGGTGGACCACAGGGTCCAGGAACCAAGGGGTGGGAGCAGGTGTGATCTCCTACTGTCCCCCCAGTGACCCACTGGGAGTTTGGGTTCCTCGTCCCACAGGTCTGGGGTCCGTGGGTTTAGATGTCCTGGTCCCAGACGAGGACCGCTTCTGCCACAGTCCCACTGAGCTGAAGGCCACAGCTGCAACCAGGGCACTCTGGCTCCCTGTGTCCAGGACCAAGAGGCCTAAAGAGGAGTGACCTGCCCAGCAGGGGAGCTGACCTGACTACCAGGAGGAGCGGGGCCTGCAGCGGGGTGGGGGCCCATGTGGCTCCTCCTCTGCCCGGTTAGGCCAGTTCTGGCAGCAGACGAGAGCAGCGGGGGCGAGGGGAGTGGGGAGCGGGTCCCGGAAAGGAGCCCCTGAGTGCCCGGTGTGGCCCTGAGACCCGCTGCAGCGGCAGGGACTGGGGTCTGTCCTGCTCGCCTTCTCCTTCGTGTTTCCCTAGGAAGAGAGGCCCATGGGCACCCTTGGAGCAGCGTTCCAGGGCGCGGTGTGACCTCAGTGGATGCAGCGTTCTCTGACCTCCTTCTAGGAGTAGGTGAGACTGCATACAGGCCAGCTTGTCCCTCTGTCTGTCTGCTTCCTCTCTTCCCTTCCACATGGGTCATCCTGAGGCCACTCCCTGATCCTCTGTCAGACTCTGCTGCTGGGCCCCGATCTGAACTCACGCTTTGCTGCCCACCTGCACCAGTGAGCGGTGCGTTTCCTGGCTAAAGTGTGCCTGGCTCCAGGACCACCTTCACAGAGTCTGTGAGTCTGAGGGAGATGCGCAGGGCCAGCACCCAGCACTGCCCCGGTCTCGGCAGAAGCGCCAGGGAACAGGGCTACCAGGGTAGTTAGAACAGTGCGCCTGTCCCCTGGCAGGAGACGAGGGTGGGAGGGGAGAGAAGATGTACCTCACAGCCCAGCAAAGGGGGGAGGGGCATTCTGGGCCATGGTAGGGGCAGGAGCGGCAAGGTGGGCATGGCCATGGGTGGCTCCCTGCCTGGACGTGGGCAGCCAGCCCAGAGCCCAGACAGGCTGTGCTGCAGCAGGGAGGGGCAGCTGGACAGGAAATCCAGGGGGGCCAATACAAACTCTGTGAGCAGGAGGCTCCAGCGCCCTGCAAGGAGGGGGGCCTGAGGGACATGAGAGCAGGGAGTGGGGGGCCTAGGGCCCCATGCAGCTGCGGCTGCAGGACCACACCCCATTCAGTCAGCAGTGACCTTGGGCCTGGGATGAGTCTCCGTGGGCCCTGCCCAGGCGGGACCTGAGGAAGGTCCTGGGACTGGGCGCCCTGAGTCTGTGGGGACCTTGGGAAGGCAGATGGACAGAGGGGTCTGGAGCTTGGGAGAGACAGACCAGGGCATGTGACGGGTGTCCAGGGCCTGGGGAGCAGAAGAGGGAGCAGTTTCAAGGGTGGGAGACCCAGGCAAGCCCAAGGTCACAGAAGCCAAAAGATCACTGTCCCAGAGAGCTGGCCACCAACAGAAGTGGTATGGTGTGTGACCACAGAGGCTGGTGGCCTCAGGTCTGGCAGAGAGACAGCAAAAGGAATCGGAGAAGAGAGGAGGGCCACTCCTGTGGTTTCCCTGGAGTAGCCCTATCTCAGGTGGCCCCCAGGCGACAAGTGGGGGAAAGGCAATTCCTGAGGACAGTGGGCCTCACCTGTCACCACTTGAAGGACAGCACCCCTACTCCAGCCAGGGAAAGGGTGGGGGCAGGGAGCTGGCTGGGTGTGCACCTGAGACAGATCAGAACAAAGCCAGGTGGCCAGGCTGCCTCAGGCCCACACAGGGAGGTGGCAACCTTGGCCCATGTCCCCTGTGGGCAGCTGCCTAAGATCCCATCCACTTGCCGGGGCAGAGATCAAGGCTGAAAGAAGTCCCCTGATGGGCTGGTAGAGTTCCAGGTCCACGGGGGGCGTTGGGGACACAATGGGCAGTGCCACTCCTGCCTC